AAAAAAAAAATCCATTCTTCCACCTTTCATCCACATATGGGTAATTGGGAGCAGACAAATATATGGCTTATCCAGGTTCTCCCTCCACGTCCCCCTCCCCACAGAAGCCATTCCCACTGTTGAACCCAATGAATGGGAAGACCAAGGGTATGTAGGCTATAAAACGTTGTCAGAATAAGTACCCGACCGTGTCTGCTAGGGCCAAACAATATTAAGGACAGCTTGTCGACCTTCGGCTTGAAATCCTAGAATGTCTGGGCATGGAGGGACCTCTGTGATCACTCAGTCTTGATAGATTTCAACTATCAATATCAATGTTTGTGAATTTGCATTATTTGAGACAAGAGAGATTGTTTAGAATCCTTACGAAAGTTCTCTGCTGCAGTCTTTGTTCTACCAAGAAGACTGTGGGGTATCAGAATCACGGGGATTTTAGGGTCGGGAAGGACCTCAGAGGATAAGCCTCATCCCACCGTGTCCTGGGATAGAGGTGCAATATCTCCAGAAGCAACTGCGGTACCAAGTGCCGCACCCTCTGAGCATCACAGGGAAAGCAGTTCCGGTTTCTTTACTTGAAAACAGTTATGTTTCCCCTTAGTTCGTCTCTTTAAAAAAAATCAGCAAGTTGCACGTCAAACGCTGTGTTATACAAATAAAACAAAAAAACCTAAATGCTTGCTTAGAAAAACCTTGGTATCCTAAGTGAATCTCTGCAATCCCTCCATGAAACCGTACGGACTCCTAACACAATGCGCGAGAAAATGCTCTGTAAACCGCAAGGCTGTATCCAAGTGCGTAGCGGTGTGCACACGGTTTCAGGTACCTGGGTGCTTCCTAAAGGAAACTCAAGGATCTGTTACCTATTTACTGTGGTGAATCGGGGGAGGAATCACGCGGCTATTTTCCATCCGCCCCAGAACGAGAAGTCTGGGTGCTGAGTTCTCCCCGGAGACCACACCCTGCGCTCCGGGGGGCCGCAGCGGCTTCCTCTGAAAATCAGCCACCTGCCTGGCTCCTCGGAATCATCAGGTTGGGTGCCACACAGGTGTAAAAAGAGGGAAGGGGGCTTTTAATGCGGTGGAGTTGCTGGTATGAAGCAGGAATTTCGCTTGGTGGAGATACAGGCGGTGTGAAGTTCTCCACCCCGCAGAGCGCGCCGCTGCCGTAGCAAGTGGGTCTTCTCCCTGGTTAGTTTCAAACTCGTTCTCGTCTCTTCTCCACCTCCACACTCGATTCAACGCGCTAACAGCATTCGAGGCTTCATTCCCCAGAAAGAAATGAGAAAATCTAAGAACACTAACAGGCTGATTAACAGGCTCTAGAGGATTAGAAATGCTAAAACGAACACCTGCAGTGACGCAGTTTCACTTGTGTGGGGGTGGAGGTGTGCAGATCCCCTATGTGTTGAGAAACAGCGCATTAAAGAAAAAGAAAAATAACCAGAAGAAATGGAGAGGAATTCAAGAAAGTGCCAGAAAAGGCTACTAAGAAATGTAAAACTTTCCTCCATATATGCTGCATACGTGAAGCCTAGCCTGTTATGTGCAGCTCAAATGCCCTAGCGGCACCGCGCCGTCATCATAAGCATCGAGGGTGTTGACTAAGAAAGTCCCTGGCGGGGAAGGTGAGAGTAGGGGGTCAGAGTGTCTCCGGGATATGGAAAACTAAGGTGTCAATAGGAAGCGAGAACCTGTTATTGGGGACACTTCAGGATCCAAGTGATACGGGGTCCGGGTATAAGCAGGATGGGGGTGGGTGGGTAGGGAAAGGAAAAGGGTAGGGGGGTATGGGGTCTCAGAGAAAATAGAGGGCCTCAGAGAAAAGTGGAAAGAAAGAAAGGAGAGCCGCAGTTCCCGGCTGCTTGTCCCTCACCCCCGCCTTCCCTTTTGCGCAGAATCCTCGCCCCGGCTGCAGCAGCGCGCTGCCCCCACCGGCCGGCGCGCCGTGATCGATCACAGGCTGCGTCAGAATCCTCCCGGCATATAAATAGGGGTGGCAGGACGGCGCCGAGCCGCACACAGCCATCCATCCTCCCTTTCCCCTCTCTCCCCCGTCCTTCTCTCTCTCTCTAGGCCCCCATCTCCGCCGCGGGCCGGGGAGGCCCCGATCGCCACCATGAGTTCCTTCAGCTACGAGCCGTACTACTCGACCTCGTACAAGCGGCGCTATGTGGAGACGCCCCGGGTGCACATCTCCAGCGTGCGCAGCGGCTACAGCACCGCGCGCTCCGCTTACTCCAGCTACTCGGCGCCCGTTTCCTCCTCGCTTTCCGTGCGCCGCAGCTACTCGTCCAGCTCCGGATCCTTGATGCCCAGCCTGGAGAACCTCGACCTGAGCCAGGTGGCCGCCATCAGCAACGACCTCAAGTCGATCCGCACGCAGGAGAAGGCGCAGCTCCAGGACCTCAACGACCGCTTCGCCAGCTTCATCGAGCGCGTGCACGAGCTGGAGCAGCAGAACAAGGTGCTGGAAGCCGAGCTGCTGGTGCTGCGCCAGAAGCACTCGGAGCCGTCCCGCTTCCGGGCGCTGTACGAGCAGGAGATCCGCGACCTGCGCCTGGCGGCGGAAGACGCCACCAACGAGAAGCAGGCGCTGCAGGGCGAGCGCGAGGGGCTGGAGGAGACTCTGCGCAACCTGCAGGCGCGCTACGAAGAGGAGGTGCTGAGCCGCGAGGACGCGGAGGGCCGGCTGATGGAAGCGCGCAAAGGCGCCGACGAGGCGGCGCTCGCCCGCGCCGAGCTGGAGAAGCGCATCGACAGCCTGATGGACGAGATCGCTTTCCTGAAGAAAGTGCACGAAGAGGAGATCGCCGAGCTGCAGGCGCAGATTCAGTACGCGCAGATCTCGGTGGAGATGGACGTGTCCTCCAAGCCCGACCTCTCCGCCGCGCTCAAGGACATCCGCGCGCAGTACGAGAAGCTGGCCGCTAAGAACATGCAGAACGCCGAAGAGTGGTTCAAGAGCCGCTTCACCGTGCTGACCGAGAGCGCCGCCAAGAACACCGACGCCGTGCGCGCCGCCAAGGACGAGGTGTCCGAGAGCCGCCGCTTGCTCAAGGCCAAGACCCTGGAGATCGAAGCGTGCCGGGGCATGAACGAAGCGCTGGAGAAGCAGCTTCAGGAGCTGGAGGACAAGCAGAACGCCGACATCAGTGCCATGCAGGTACGGCACCGTCCGGGACACGGG